TTAAATATACTATTATAAAATTTTTACCTTTTGCTGACCAAAATCAATAAAATTTTGTAGATCAGGATCTTCTCTATATGTTTGTATGATTTTATCTGTGAATGATTCTTCCAATAATGATTGTAATGTATGTGGAAATATAAAACCAACAATTGCTATGCCCATTTCAAGCAAAAAGAATACCAATAGACACAATGAATACTATAATAAATAGATTATTAGATATTACATTAATTAAACTTTCAAATATAATTCATCTATTAATACTAACAAATTTAAGAAGACAAGTATTTTCACGTAATGCTCCTACACATCCTGCAAAACTAACAACAAAGACTACTGCTCCTGCAATAACCATTACAAGTGAAATATTGAGAATTACATCATATACATTTTCCACTCTAACAGAACCAGTTGCTTGCCATTTGTCCACAAATGCATATAAACCTACTCCAATTAGAAGTCCTCCAAATAACTATATAATAAAAAAATAAATATTTAAAATTTTATTTTTTATTTATAATAGTAATAACATTAATAATACTAATAATATTAGTAATAGTATAATAACATTTATTAATTATAATAAAAATAATAATTCATAATATGAAATAGTAATAATATACTCACCCAAAAAACAAAATTGAGCATAAATATCATATACTTCACACAAGAACTAACATAAGTAAAATTATTCGTTCGTCTCCGATTATTCATCATTATAAAATAAAAACAGTTTTAAGAAATATTAATTAGTATATACAAGATATTCGTACTTTTAATTATATATACAAATTACATCGATTAATTATTTCATAATTCCATATATTCAACGCATATTTACTATTTCTTTCTTTAATTGTCGGTGAAATATATTTGATCGTTCATGAATCAAAGCAAAAATATAATGCACCATACTTTGACAGCTTACTTTGCATCCGCCATTACACCTCTGTTTCTCATATTCCTCGAATTCAAGTTTAAAATCAGCTGTCCATACATTCCATGTTTCAACGAAATAAACGGAATACATGTGTGTATAAACCAGACAGAAAATTCTAAACAAAATAATTATTAGCGCTTGATTTATTTAAAATTTTTAATACTTATACGTGTTTATATTAAAAAAAAAGATATAATTTTTATTGAAACAATGACATCAGTACAAGACAGTAAGTTTATTATATATTTATTACGGTTCATGATTTTCAGGTTAATAAAATTATTAAATATTAACATATAGCTTAAATTAAATAATTTAAATAATAGTATATTAATAATATATTAAATTAAATATAAAATTTTATTATAATGTTGTTCTATAATATTTTGTTATTTATTTTTATATATTTATGTAGAAAATAAATCTTATTTTTGACATATACATTAATGTAAACAATATATTAATACTTCAAAATATTAATATTATAAATACTTATCTTAGCATAGTATTAAAAGATGTAGTATTAATTAATTATATAAAATTAATAAAAATTATAAATTATAAAAATTATACAAAATTCAGTGTAATTTATATTTATTATACATTTTAACATTTATTTGCAGGATTGAAATTAAAAAGATCTTATGATAATTGGACTACACGTGAACAGTTATATTTGGCTTCAAGTGTATTGAAATCAGGAGATCAAAACTGGATGAGTGTATCAAGATCATTAAAAGCAGTTGTTGAAAAAGAACATCAAGACCATCTGATTGGTTTTCTCAAAAATCTTGTGCTATTCAGTATGCATATTTATTAGAAAATGCAGATACACCTAAAAGAAAAAAAAGAGAAAGTGGAGAAACAACAGGTGAATCAATAGTAAGAAGATTAACACAAGAAAGGATAACTGAATTAGGACAAATGTTAGCTTTTCAAAGAGAAGAATATCAACAACTTAAAACTGAAATAAATATGTTAAGATCTGGATCAATAACAGATGATAAATTAAATAAGATGTGGCTTGCAATTGAACAAGAAGAACGAGAACAAGAACAAAAAGCAAGAGCACATTCTGCATGGTTAGCAAAACGTCAACAAAAACAAGAATTAAATTCACCACAAACAGTATCTAATATAAGTCAACGTAAATCTAGTGAAAATACAGTAGAAATTCAAGAAACAATAGAAAATGTAGAGGAAGATGAAAAGAAAGCTAGAGGAGGAAGATCACCATTGTTAACAAGTCTATTAAAATCACCAAGTCCAACAACACAAATTCAAACATCAACTACTACAGGACAAATAAGTTCTCCTACAATTACAAGTCTACTTGGTTCTAGCCCTAAAGTACCAAGTTCTCAATTAACACAAAATGTATCTCCTCAATTGCATCAATTAGTTACATCCTCAATTTCAAATGTACTACCAGAAAGACCATCAGTTGGTGCACCAACTTTATCTATGTTATTAGAAATGCCAGCTAATACACAAAGAGGTCCTTTACCTAATTTACAGTCAACACCAACTATTGTACCTCAACAAAATGTAACTGAAATTCACAATTGTCAATCTCAATCTATACATCAAGTAACAGTACAAAATGAAACATCTGTACCTCAATCTTTAATAACAACTCCAAATATTACATCTACAGAAAGTATGGTACAGATTATAGATCATATAGATGATGTAATACGTAAAGATATAATGGCAGATGTAATAGATAAAGATGAAATTAATGAAATTATTGGAGATATAGAAGAATTAATAAAAGAAGAAATTACTGGTAGTCCACAAGCTTTAGATACAGCTACATCAACCATTAATACTCTTACTGTACCTCAAATTCAAGAAGTACCAGTAATAACAGAACGTCCAGAACCTAGAGATGTAGATGAAACTGTATCACTTTCTAATTCACCAGAAAGTGAAATGGCTATTGAAGAAATCGATTCTAGTACATCAAATATTGCAGAAATTATAGGAACAGTTGCTATAGAACCACAAGAACCCAAAGTTATTGTGACTGAAATATCTGAAACCATAACAAATACATCAGAAGAAGTAAAATCTGAAGAAAGTACATGTTTAGAAAGAGTGGCATTAAAAGAAGAGCTTGTTCCTGAATTAAATACTCAAGATGGTGAAAACAGTAAAGATACTCCATTAGAAGAAAAACAAATAGGTGATGAATTTGATACTATAGATTCTACTTCAAATGTAGAAACTGAAGAAAATGATTCAAAAATAGTTACAAAAGAGCTAGTGGATGAAATAGCAGAAGATGAAGTTGAAGAAGAAGAAGAAACTGAAATAGTTGTACCAGAAATTAAAGAATGTTCTACTAATAAATTACAAAGAGTATCTTCTAATGAATTAGAAAATAAAGATAATATGGAATTGGATCAATTAGAAATGCATCTTGCTAAAATTACTGGAGAACAGCAAGATGTTCCATCAGCAGAAGTTGTTAGTGTTTCATCTGAAGTAACAAATGATCTTCCTAGTACAGAAGATACAGAAAAATCACAAGATATTAGTTTAATTTTAGAAGATGATGAAAGTAGTTCAGATGATAAAAAGAAAATAACAGAAGAACAGATTATAGAAAATACAATTGAAAGTACAGAATCTATTGAATCATTCAAAGAAGAACCTATAATTGTAATAAAAGAAAAAACTATTATAGAAGTAAGTGAAGAATCACCAGAAAAATCTCAAGAACAAACAGAAGAAGCTTTAGAAATTTATACAGATGAATTTAAAAAAGAAGATACAAAAGATTCTTCAGAAGATACAACAAGTTCTATTTTACAAGATATAGAAATAAAAGAAGAAGAAATAGAGGAAACAGCAATTGTAGAAGATTCTACTCAGTTGGTGTCTCCTGAAGATATAAGTTTAAAAATAGAATCTGTAGATCCTATTAATACTGATACTTCTATTGTTAAAAAAGAAGAAAATACATATGAAGATTCAAGAATGGAAGAAGAAACAAAAATTCAATTAGAAAATTCATTAATATTAGAAGTGAAAAAAGAAGTTCAAATAAAAGAAGAAAAGGAAGAGAAAAAAAATATAGATATTGAGCAAAATGTAAAAAAAGAATCAGAATCTATAATAAGTGCTGGAGAAGATACTGTTGAATTAGATGAAGAGGAATCATCATTAAGCAAGTTAAGTGGAGGTCGTGCTATGAAAACATATTCAAAAAAACAAAATGCTTCTATTGATAGTGAACCTGAAACTGAAGGTACTGGAGAAGGTGCAGATTATAGAGCATGGAAAAAAGCAGTCATGTTGGTTTATAATCGACTTGCTACCCATAAATATGCATCTGTTTTTTTGAGACCTATTACAGAAGATCAAGCACCAGGATACCATTCAGTTATTTTTAGACCTATGGATTTATCTACTATTAAAAAAAATATAGATAATGGCACAATTAGATCTACAATGCATTTTCAACGTGATGTTATGTTGATGTTTCAAAATGCCATTATGTATAATAAACATGATACATTTATTTATAAAATGGCAGTTTCAATGCAGGAAGAATGTCTGCAGCATATGCAGGTAAAAATATAAATGTAATAATTAAAAATGTAATAATTATCATTTTTAAGAAATCTTATATATTATTTAATTCTGTGTAGATATTGGTGCAAGTTACAGGAGAAGGAACACTCAGAAGAGAAACAAGAACTGCAGCAAGTAGTAGTAATGAAGCTAATGAAAGTAGCATAAAAAGAAAACGAAGTCACATCACTCCAAGTCCACATGATACAGATAGTCCGCGTTCTAAAAAACGTAGAAAATCAGAAAATGATTAGGACATTTTCTTGTTTATAGGTATATATAAATGTATGTGTGTGCGCACGCGCGCATGCGTGTGTGGTGTGTAATTTGATATACATTAAAATTCTCAAGAGCTTTGTTGACAAATGTGAAAGAAAGGATATATCTGTTAACATTAAAGGATAATGTTGGATATACATAGACATTTATATTAAATATTTATGTTATATATAATAAGAAATATAATAACTTAAAATTCTATCTCATTATTTTCAGATGACAGTAAAAAATGGAAAAATAGATTTTATATTAATAATTACAAAAATTACAAAAATTAAAATCATATTTATCTTCTTCTTTTAACATATTATCATTATAATTACATACTATATGTATAATGAAAAAAAAAAATTATTTGTAATGGTATTTAAAAAAAATTATTTTTTTTTATATTTTAAGAAAGATGCAATAAAAGCATTTTATAAATATAATTTTTTAAAAATATTAAATAAAAAAATTTACTAAATAAATAATTTAAATTATAGCTTATAGAATAATGTAATTTGTTCTACCATAATAAAAAAAAAAGCCTGCCATTTATTCCACTTTTATAAACATTTAAATTTTAGATACAAAATATAAATAAATCATTAGTATAATAAAACATATGTAAGAAATTTAAACTTTATAGTCGTATAACTTGTTAAAATTTAAAGAAACTTTATAATGGGCTATTATGCCAGCGGTGATACACGAAAAATAATACAAACTTCTGACGATGACGAAGGTTATGAAAATCAATCATCTTGTACTACAGTATCTGTTGGAATATTAAATCAATTAGAAGATAGAAATAAACAATACTTTATATTTGGAATTTCTCAAGGAATTGTAAGTTATTATTATTAAAAATAATACATTTTTATTTATATAATCTTATATTTAAGTCACCCGCACCAACACCACCAATATCCGATGACACTGATCGACCATTCTGGGCTGAAGATGAATTAAGTAGTTCAGAATCAAAGCAGCAATTAAATGAGAAACAGAAACGTCGGCGTAGTTTATCTTATCGTAATCGTATTGCAGTACACAGAAGTCGGTCTTTACTTTTTCAATCATCAAGTTCTAGTTTAGATTCATTATCTGAACGAATTTCACCTGGAGGTATTTTTTATAAATTATAAATTATATTTTTAAATTATGTATTTTTTTATTATATTATTTTTTTATTATATATTATATAATGAAAATAGTATATTTAAAATAAATATAATATATAAGAGATAATTCTATATTTTTAATATAATTATTATAGTTTTTAGACGGGAACAATTTACGAAACAATTCAATATAGAACAAATCGGTTATAATAAAACAAAGAAGAAATATGCACGAAAAAAAGGAACTTCTTATTTAAATAATGGTAAAACTATTTGTACAAAGAATAAAAATATTAATCGGAAATAAATCCAAAGGTATCTCATTTTTCATGAATAAAAGACTATGTTAAAAGATTATTTAACGTTGCTAAAAAAATAACATAGAAATTTTTTCTTAAAATATTGAACATTAATTTAAATTGCAGTATATATTTATCATCTTATTATTTTTAAGATTTAAATGAAGTACGAGTGAAATCAATCGGTTAAAGCTTTATTAAAAAATACTTGACTAAATATAAATAGAATGCTTTTATTATTATTATAGTTTCTTTGAATAAATTATTACAATATTTAATAAAATTATTTTCAAACATACAGACAAGAAATTGCACAAATTATGAGCTATTTTATAACTAATGATTGTGGTAAAAATCAATATGAAAAAGTTGGTGAAATTCGAACTCGTAAGTGATTTAAATTATATACTAATTGAAAATATTTTTTGCATAATTTTTACATTAATTAAAATATTATATATTATATTATATTATATATTATATCATATTATATAAATATTAATTTACTTCAATTAAAATATAAAGATATCATATAAATATGTAATCATATTTTAATATGATTTACAATATCATAATAATATTTATAATTATTAATATTTGAATATTTAAAATTTGAATTTCAAATATATTTAATCTATTTATTACTACAATGAAATATCTTTTTTTAAATTTCAGAATCAACACTACATCCAACTTTTATTGGACTTATTTTTTTGAGTTTCTGCATGATATTTATAATATTATCATTATGGAATATCGATAATACAATAAATCCGAAAAATAACACTTATGTATTTTACTTAAAATCAAAACATTCACTTTTACATACAGTATCAAACAAATTTTTATCATTTGGTCTTGATACATCTTTACTTCGTGATATAAAAAATCTTCCAATTAAAAATAACAAATTTATAAATTTAGCTCAATATCTTGCACCAGCTTATATTCGAATAGGAGGTACATCTGCTGATTGTTTATATTTTAATCAGGTAGATTTATTATTATATTAAAAATAAATTTATATATGTACAGAATGTTTCAAAAATGTGGGATACTATTTAATTGAAGATTCACTAATTAACTAAGATAAGTTCAAACAACATTTTTCTTTGCAAATTATAGTTTTGTCATTAACAAATTATTAACAAAAACATTAGCTAATTACAAAATAAACTAATTAACAAACAAATTCAAGCAATATTATTTGAATTTGTTTATTCTCGGTCAGCGATATGTACTCAATATTACCGTCGTAGTTTAATTTATTGCGTTCCATGCGTTTGATCAATTTTTTATTAATAATAAACTTTTATTAATAACTTAAAAAACTATAAATGATATAAACGAAAGTTTCTTTTATAAATGAAAATGTTGCTTAAAATTACTTTAAGAATCTGCAATTAACGGATATTCTATATTTTGAGATATCTTGTTTATGTATAATTAGATAGTCATATTCACAGAGATAGTTTCTAAGAGATTTCGCGAATAATTAAAACTGAAATGAATAATAGAGATAATAAAAGATGTTATTATATTTATATAAATTTATATAAATTATGCTATATAGACAATGTGGATAATTTCTGAAAAAGTAATAAATCCAGTGGATGGACAAGATATAACTAATTTTACAATTAATGAAAAAGATTTTGAAAATTTATACAATTTTTCAATAAAATCAAAATTACAAATGATATTCGATTTAAATGTATTAATTAGAAATATTAATGGCTCTTGGAATGATATTAATGCTAAAAATATAATTTCATTTGCCAAAAGTAAAAATATGAAAATAGATTGGCAACTAGGAAATGGTAATGTTACAATTTTATTTTTTATATATTTCTTACTTATCTTTTAAATAGATAGATTAATTATGATAAAATTTCTAGAACCAAATTCTTTCCATCATGTATTTAATATAAATATTACTGCAATTCAACTTGCATATGATTATCGTGAATTAAGGCAATTATTAAATGAAATAGGATATAGAGAAAGTCTTCTTGTGGGTCCAGAAGTAAATCATGTAGGAGATACAAATCATATAGGAGAACATTATGCAAAAACATTTTTAGAAAATGATAAAAATAGTATAAACTATGTCACTTGGCATCAATATTATTTTAATGGGAAAGAAGCTCAATTAATTGATTTTATAAATATTTCAATTTTTAATTATTTGCCAATACAAATTAAATCTATGCAAGAAGCAATTCAATCATCAGGAAAAATTATTCCTATGTGGTTATGTATGTCATTATATAATTCTATTAACTTTCTTAAATACTAATAATAGTAATAAAATAAAATTTGTTAAATAAATCTTTTATAGCAGAAACAAGTACAGCTTATGGTGGAGGTGCTCCAGAACTGTCAAATAGATTTATAGCTGGATTTTTATGGCTTGATAAATTGGGATACAGTGCTAGTGCAGGATTAAATACTGTTATTAGACAATCATTGTTTGGTGGAAATTATGCTATGATTGGACCTGATCTTATGCCAAATCCAGACTGGTGGGTTAGTGTAATTTATAAACAATTTGTTTCAGAAAAAGTATTAAAATTATCATCAACATCTTTTGATTATTTACGACTTTATGCACATTGCACTCCTGAGAAATCATGGATTAATAAAATTGTAGCAGTTACAGTATATGGAATTAATTTGTACAAATATCCTATTAATATCACTCTTCAAGGAATTCCTATATTTCATAAAAATTCTAAGGTTTTTTTGTATGCACTCACTTCTAATAATTTACAATCAAGGTATGTAATAATTATTTTATAAGAAAATAAACTTAATTTTAATTTAATTAATTTTTTTATTTTATTTATTTTCAGAGATATAAAAATAAATGGAGAAGTATTGAAATTGCAATCTAATGGTAGTTTGCCATTATTTCAACCTGTAATATTAGAATCCACACAATCAATTACTTTACCATCTTATTCCATGATATTCATTGTAATACATGGCGCATATGTTCCAGCATGTCATACATAAATATATAATAATAATAATAAATTTGATTAAATTTTATATATATTGTATGTTTTCCGTATATTAAAAATTTTATAGATACTATATAACAAATGATGTTATAAACAATAAATAAATATTGTAATAAATAATTTTTCTTATTATATCGAAATATAATAGAATGAACAAATAATTAATATAATAATATAATATAATAAATATAAGTGAAACAAAAAATTTAAATGTAATAACTTTTTTTTTTTATTATTTATTACTTTGTGTAAGATCATTCATAATATACGATGATATATAATGTACAACTATAAATGTTATAACTAATTTTTATTTGTTATTCGAATTAATTCGAAGTAAAATAAAATATTTTTGTTGTAAATTGTATTGATATCAATGGCTAAAGAAAAATTAAAAAAACGCAAAATTTAATTATTTTTATTAAATTAAAAGAATATAAATAACTTTTATAAGATATTGTTTATATATGTATTATATATATTTTTTATAAATACAAATAATTATATTAACATTATTTATATATATATATATATATATATATATATATATATC